ACGATTTTTGCTAGTGGGAGCCCTCTTGGGACGCCGCTTAGGGACCTCTTAGGGACCTCTTGGGGCGTCTTGAAGGCCTGTTGGGCCGTCTTGAGGCCATCGTAGGCGTTTGGGAATGATATTTCGCCGTTTCCCGGCTCTCTTGGACCGTCTGGAGGGCTTCTCGGGCCCCTCTTCGACCGATTTGGAGCCCTCCTGGGCTCCGAAAAAAGAGTTCTTGAGGGTTTCTTGGGCCTTCTTGGAGCGCTCTTGGGCCGTCTTTGAGCGGTCTAGAGGGTCTCTCGGGCCGTCTTGGGGTGATCTTGGGGGCCTCTTGGACCGCCTTGAAAGGTGTGAAAGACGAAGAGGTGGATTTGTTAAAAATGCACGTTTTCCTAAGGAAATAAGACGATTTTTGCTTGTGGGAGCCCTCTTGGGGCGCCGCTTAGGGACCTCTTGGGGCGTCTTTTTGGGCCTTTCTTTCCCTCGCGTCTCCCGGCTCTCTTGGAAACCTTGCCGGGACCTTTGCCTTGGGACCTTGCCGGGACCTTGCCGGGGTACTTTTCGTCCGGGGACCCCCAGGGCCCGCCCCGCGCGCGCGAACTAGAAATATTGTTGAGCAGTTACCGGAGATCTTAGCACGCCTCTGGCCCGTTGGGCCGGCGAATATCTGGCAGGCCTGCAGTTCAGTTTACAGACAAACACAAGTTATGCACTTCAGGATCGTATCCTGTGATTCAGGAACTGACAGTGTTCTGGAAGGGTTCGTTCGAGTGGAGCTTGCGGCGCAATTGGGCCCACTTGGTTGGCCAAGGGCATGACCAGTACTGGGTATTGCGCAGGTACGACTCTTCCTCATCAGTTACCATGCACACGCGCAACGCCAACGCACCAAACACGGGCATGGAATGGGACATACCCATTCTAATTATTGGTACAGTGACAGGAGGCACGCGCACCATCCAGGTTTACCGCGCATCAGACAAGCACTTGATTTCATCTAATACAGTATCTGATGTCAACACGATTCCAAGTGGCAATGAACCAATTTGCATTGGGGATACTCAATTCTGCCACGACGGTCGACATGCTTGGGGAAACATATGCTTGTTCCGGGGTGAGGTCGAGGAGATGCTTGTATATGACCGGTTGTTGTCCACCAGCGAGCGAAGCTCCGTTGTCAATTATTTGTCAACTACTCCGACACCAGTGCCGACGCCCAGCCCCACGCCCAGCCCCACGTCCAGCCCCACGTTCAGCCCGACGGCTCCAGTATATGCCGCCGGCGACCCACATTTGGAGAACATCTACGGGGAGCGGTTTGATTTGATGAAGCCTGGCAATGTCGTGCTGGTCCAGATCCCGCTTGGACAACCTGCCGACGACGCGCTGCTGACCGTGGAGGCATACGCGAAGCGGATGGGGGCATCCTGCGCGGACATCTATTTTCAGGCGCTCAATATCACAGGGGCGTGGGCAGACGAGGTGCAGGCCGGCGGGTTCACCTTCACCGCGCGCGACGAGGCGTTCCAGACGCCGACCTGGATGAAATTGGGGCCGCTGGAGCTCAAAGTGGTGCGTGGCCAGACGTACCAGGGCCTCCAGTACTTGAACTTGTACGTCAAGCACCTTAACCATGCTGGTGTCGCAGTCGGAGGTTTGCTCGGAGAAGGTGATCACACGGATGCGGCGACGCCCGCGGGCGAGTGCTTGAAGACCATGGCCTTATCGAAGGCGCATGACGCGTGAGCAGGAGCTCGTGCGTAGATTGGAATTCGGATCACCTTGCGTGAGTGCTAAAGACAGCTTCGATATCGTGGGGTGTGCTTCGTGCGCGCTGATGTGCGCATGCATGTGGGGGGAGTGCCGACCCCAGGACGCCGTCCGCGCCCGTGTTTTTCCCTCCTCTGCACTTTGGCACAGCGGACTGTCGGCCAGCAGGCCAGGACCCTGGCAGTGCAGGCTGCGGCCGTGCCGTGCAGCGGGGGCTGCAGCACCGGGGCGCACGCCCGAGCTGCAGCGTCGGGGGGCAGGCCCGCGGGCTTCTCACCGCCCGCCGCCTGGCGCCCACGCTGCTGGGCCCCTAAGGCGATCCGGAGTCGCCATCTCGCTGGCATCGTGGGGGCCCGACGAGGAGGTGTGAGTGGATCGAGGACGGGCGCGGAACCGGCCGGTCTTCCACTGCAGGAAGGTCGGCCACCCTTTTGTCACGTTTGTTCGTGAGTTCGTTCAAGCTGGGCCACGGCGTGGCAGTTTACATATGCAAGTGCCACATAGAGGAGGGAGAGGAGAGGGAGAGGAAGAGCAAAGGACAAAAACTTATCATCTGTTCGTCTGGGCAACACATCGGTTTCTGTGCTCCTCTCATCCTCATCCTGGGGCCGCACGGCAGCGCACGCTGCCCGCGCGAGCCTGCCATGCAGGCGCGAGCCCAGTCTCTAACTGCAGGAAGGCCCCCCCCAAAAAATTTCTCGGAAGCCTCTTGGGCCGTCTTGAGGCCATCTTGGGTGTGTTGGAGCGCTCTTGGGCCGTTTGGGGATGCTCTTGGACTGTCTCTGCGGACTGGTGACGCCGCTCGGTTTGCCATGGGTTCGGCGCCAGCGCGTTTCCCCCCGGCCGGCCCCCCCCCAGGACTTCCCTCGCCCCCCCCCATCCCGGTGGGGAAGGAATCAAAGGGAAGGGGCTCCTTTTGAGACGAGTACGACAGGAGTCATTTTTCCAAGGGCTGGCACGCCTGAAACGAGGGCCTCGAGTATGCATTCCGCGGCCCCCACGTACTGGTGACGACGCGGCCCGAGTTTCCATGGGGTGGCGCGCTTGAGGCGAGGGGCAAAGGAAGAGCGTCGAATGGAGAAGTCGCGAGAGCTTCTGATGTGGAAGTCCTTCACACACGCCGACATGGTCGGCGGATTTCGCAGCTCTGCGTGCCCCCAGAACCCTTTTCGAACTCCTTGGAATTCTTCAGAACCCCCCCAGACATTGGTGAGGGCCAAGAGGCCCACTAACACCAAAAGTGGGACCCTTCGTTTCGGGGGCGACGTTGGTGGATCGCCTCCCTTTGCGAAAGGCGTTGCCAGGACCCCAGGGGCCACCGATCTTTGTTCGAGTGGCTTCTGGTGTTGGTGGGCCGCTGCTAGCTCCCCCAAACACCGCATGAGCTCACTGGAACTGCTTCCTCCTCCGTGGCGGCGGCGATCCCGGCGGTGGCTGGCGGGGTCGGGCCCCTCGGAGGGCCCTCGGGCGGCGCGCTCGTCGTCGTCGGTGCAGCGTCGGCGCTGCGCGCGCGGCGCGGCGCCCTCGCGTCGCTGAGGAGGTCGGCCTGAACGGGGTCAAGGCCGAGGAGCGTCGCACTCCTCCCTTCCCCGCCCCGCGCTCACTCAAGTTGTGATCAGCGGTGCGGGACAGCCGTCGGAAGATACACCGTGGAGGGCTGGCTGGCTGGTGGAGTGGATGGCTGGTGGGCTCCCTGGTGGCCGGGTGAGCCGGCGTCCAGAGGCCAATTTGGGCACACCGCTCACACGGATCGCGGCCAGGGGGGCGGAGAGAATATTTTTGAAACGGTGTGTGTGTATATATATATATATATACACACCGTTATTAAACCATTTTGATGGCGGGATTTTTTTTTGTGCGGGGGGCCTGCGACCCTCGCGGGTTTCGTTGACCCCTGGGGGGCTCCACCGAAGGTCGGCTGCGTTCGCATGCGGCCCCGCCCTATTCCGGCAGACCCGTCGTAACTTTTTCTGTGGCCCCCTATGGAGCTCCACCGAAGGTCCCAGTGGCTGCGTCTGCATGCGGCCCTGCCCCGTTTCGGCAGACCCCTCGCACGTTTCGCTGCCCCGTGCGAAGCTTCACTGAAGGCCACACTGGCTCTGATCGCATGGCATGGAGCGGTCCTGTTTACAGCCGCCACTCGTTTTTCAAGGGTTGGGTTCTTTGCCGGGCTAATTTCTTGATGCGGCGCTCAGACTTGAAGGGGCTCCAGATTTTGTGCTTTTCCGATCCGAGCGTTTTCAGTCCTTGTAGAACGGCGCTCCCGCCGCAGCGTTGGCTCCATTTTCGCGTTCCCCGTCCTACCAGATCATGTTCCCGCTGCAGCGCTGACCTCACTTCATCGTTTCGGCTCGTCCAAGTCGTGCTCCCGCTGCAGCATGGGGTTCGTTTCCGCGCTTCCAGTCCTTTCAAATCGTGCTCCCTCTGCAGCGTTGGTCTCATTTCGCGTCCATGTATTTTTTCGCGCCCCCCTTTTTCAAACCGTCCATTTGCATTTCCCGTCCTGTGTAATGTCTCGTTTCCCTCGGACATTGTTGTCGAAACGAGTCGCGTTCTCGACGCGATGCCATGCTATGCCATGCTGTACCATGCATCGCATACTCTTTCTGGATCATTGCCCTGCTCGACGCCCCACTGCGCGAACGGAGAGGAGATCTACGCAGAGGTGAGTGATGAGAGGGAGGGGTAGGGCTCCAGACGTGACGCTTGCGCGCCTAGCTTATCCTCCCCCTTCTCCCTCCTCCTCCCTCCGCCCCCAGTGGCTCAGGTGGCTCTTGCTCCACGCTCACGGCGCAGCAAGTCGGCGGCGAGGGAGGGGAGGAAATGAGAAGGAGAAGGGCCTTGTCAGAAGGCCACGGGACTCTTCAGAGACCCTCGCGCCTTCTGAATCCGTTTCCTGTGTCTCCGGGGGAAGCTCAGAGGAACACCTTCTCAGAAGACCGGAGGAGGAGGGGGAGGAGGAGGAGGAGGAGGAGGAGGAGGAGGAGGAGGAGGAGGGGGGGAGGGGGGGAGGGGGGGGGGAGGGGAGGAGAGGAGGAGGAGGAGGGAGGAGGAGGAGGAGAGGAGGAGGAGGAGGGGGGGAGGGGGAGGGGAGGTGAGGAGGAGGGGGAGGAGAGAGGAGGAGGAGGAGGGAGGAGGAGGAGGAGGAGGAGGAGGAGGGACTTCCGAACCTCCTGGGAGGGCCTCCTCCTCGCTTCCCCCCCCTCGCTCGCCGCCGACCCTCGGCCTCCCGGCGGCTCAGGTGGCTCCCGCTCCACGACCGCGGCGCCGCAAGGGCCGGCCGCCATGGCCCGCTTCCAGCTCCCGTCGAGGGCCGCGCGCTGCGTGCCCGCCTGGCGACCGGCGCCCGCGCGGCTGGCCTCGGGGCGCGCTGCCCCACTGCGCCTCGGTGAGGCCCTGCGACCAGCAGGTCGGGGCGGCAGACAAGAGTAAGCGAATAATAATATTAATAATAATAATAGTAATAGTACTAGTAATAGTAATAATAATAATAAAAAGAAGAAGAATGAGAATATGAATAATACGAACAATACTACCTACACTAATAATAATAATAATAACAACAATAATACTAATAATAATAATGACAATAATAATGCCAGTATTAATCATAATGATAATACTCATAAGAATAATAGTATTATTAATAATAGTAATGATAATACTAATACTAATACTAATAATAATGATAATAAAAATAATAAGAATAATAAAAAGCCACATAAAGATAAACTTTTGGCGCTCCGCGCCGATTTCTTGGATCCGCGCCTGGGCCCCCACCCCCCCCGCGACGCCTCTGGCGCCGCCCCTGGCGCGATCCGCACGCCAGGGAGGGGGGTCCAGCGCGAGTCCAAGAAATCCGCGGTGAGCGCCAAAAGTTAATGTTTATGTAGTTTCTTCTTCTTCTTCTTCTTCTTCTTTTTCTTCTTCTTCTACTAAGTAAGGAGCGATGCCCATACGTCTGGCGTGCCCTCCTCCCCAACCATGCTGTGGTGTTGGGTCCTCTCGTTTGGCATTCGCAGCGCCTTGCGCTGCTTATCCCCCTCCCCCCCCTCCTCCCCTTCCTCCTCCTCCTCCTCCTCCTCCTCCTCCTCCTCCTCCTCTTACTCCTTCTACTCCTCCTCTTCCTCTTTGCCTCTGCCCTCCGCATGCACGTTCCGGCACACGCCTCGCATTTTCGCGTCCTCATGATGGGGCTCCACCGAAGGCCCCAGCGGCAGGATTTGCATGTCGGCTCTGCACCCACTTTGGCACACCCTCATACGTTTTATGGTTTAAAAAGGGGTTTCGCCGAAGGCCCCAGCAGGATGGTCCGCATGGCGGCCCCGCACACATGTCGGGACACCCTTGACACGTTTAGGCGGCCCCGCACCCATATCGAGATACCACTCACAAGTTTCGTGGCTTCCTAGGGAGTCCCACTGAAGGCTCCAGCGGCCTGGTCTGCATGCCAGCCCCGTGCCGATTTCGTCACACCAACACCAGGGGAAGGGTCAGCATGTGCGCACCAACACCGTTTCGGCAAAACCCTGACACGCTTCGTGGTCCAATGGGGAGCTCCACCGAAGGCCCCAACGGCAGGGTCCGCATGGCGGCCCCCGACCCAATTCGGCACGCCCCTCACGCATTTCGTTGCCCCAATGGGAGCTCCCCCGAAGGCACCACCGGCAGGGTCCGCATGGCGGCCCCCCACCCTGTTTGGCATACCCCTCACCCGTTTTGTGGCCTCATAAGGGGCCTGCCGCTCCTTCGTCCCACCTGCTCTGCGGTACACGGACCCGCATATGCTTGTGTCCTATATGTGTGTGTGTGTGTGTGTGTGTGTGTGTGTGTGTGTGTTTGGCACACACACACACACACGTGTTTTTGCACATATATATATATATATATATATACGTATATAGATACACTTGTATATATGCACGTGTGTGTATGTGTGTGTGTGTGTGTCTACATCTGTAGGTATACGTATGCGCACACGTATATGTATATGTGTATGCATGCATGTACACACAACTATTTGTATTTGTGTTTACACATGAGTATGTGTATCTACATGCATCCACATGTACATGTGTATGCACCTGGTTACTAGCCGGCCGCTCTGCGGTTGATCGGGAGTTTCTGTATATAGAAGAAGGGGCGCGCGCTTCTGGGCGAGAGGGAAATGATCGAGAGGAGAAAGAGCGTGAGCATCAGGAGGGCGAGGCTCGCGAGGGGGCGAACCAGCGGCGAAAAGTCTGCGGAAATCGCGCGCCCCGAGAAATCTCCTACTCCTCCTCCTCCTCCTCGCCCACCTCCTCTTCCTCCTCCTCCTCCTCCTCATCATCGTCATCATCAACATCATCATCGTCATTATCATCATCATCATCATCATCAGCATCATCATCATCATCGTCCTACCGCATCCTCCTTCTTCTCCTCCTCCTCCTCCTTCTCCTCCTACTCCTGTTCATCCTCTTCCTCCTCCCGCACCCTGGTCCTCCTCTTCCGTCTCCTCCGCCTCCTCCTCCTTTTCCTCCTCCTCCTCCTCCTCCTCCTCCTCATCCTGCTCTTCCACACACCGCATCCTCAGCCCCCGCGGCCCCAGAACGTCCCGACCCCTTCCCCAGATCCGTCTTTGCTGCGCCATGATGCCAGAACGCGGCACCGAAGCCCGAAACCAAGGAAAGCCACCAGGATTGAAAGAATCGTATCGTCGGAGATCAGGGCCCTCCGCCTCCTCCTCCTCCTGCTCGTTCTCCGGAAACGGTGCCGGAGGCCGCTGTGGGCTCCCGTGGCCCCTTTTGTGAGGATGTCTCAAGCGAGGGCGCCGGTTTGGGATTCGTCGGCGGATCCGCCGGATCTGTCCGGAAACGGTGCCGGAGGCCGCTCCCTGGGGCCCGTTTTGTGGGGATGCCTCAAGCGAGGGCGCCGGTTTGGGATTCGTCCGCGGATCCGCCGGATCTGTTCGGAAAGGGTGCCGGAGGCCGCTCTGGGCTCCTGTGGGCACCTCCCCCGGGGCCCGTTTTGTGGGGATGTCTCAAGCGAGGGCGCCGGTTTGGGATTCGTCCGCGCATCCGCCGGATCTGTCCGGAAACGGTGCCGGAGGCCGCTCTGGGCTCCTGTGGGCACCTCCCCCGGGGCCCGTTTTGTGGGGATGTCTCAAGCGAGGGCGCCGGTTTGGGATTCGTCCGCGGATCCGCCGGATCTGTCCGGAAACGGTGCCGGAGGCCGCTCTGGGCTCCTGTGGGCACCTCCCCCGGGGCCCGTTTTGTGGGGATGTCTCAAGCGAGGGCGCCGGTTTGGGATTCGTCCGCGGATCCGCCGGATCTGTCCGGAAACGGTGCCGGAGGCCGCTCTGGGCTCCTGTGGGCACCTCCCCCGGGGCCCGTTTTGTGGGGATGTCTCAAGCGAGGGCGCCGGTTTGGGATTCGTCCGCGGATCCGCCGGATCTGTCCGGAAACGGTGCCGGAGGCCGCTCTGGGCTCCTGTGGGCACCTCCCCCGGGGCCCGTTTTGTGGGGATGTCTCAAGCGAGGGCGCCGGTTTGGGATTCGTCCTCCCCCGGGGCCCGTTTTGTGGGGATGTCTCAAGCGAGGGCGCCGGTTTGGGATTCGTCCGCGGATCCGCCGGATCTGTCCGGAAACGGTGCCGGAGGCCGCTGCTCTGGGCTCCTGTGGGCACCTCCCCCGGGGCCCGTTTTGTGGGGATGTCTCAAGCGAGGGCGCCGGTTTGGGATTCGTCCGCGGATCCGCCGGATCTGTCCGGAAACGGTGCCGGAGGCCGCTCTGGGCTCCTGTGGGCACCTCCCCCGGGGCCCGTTTTGTGGGGATGTCTCAAGCGAGGGCGCCGGTTTGGGATTCGTCCGCGGATCCGCCGGATCTGTCCGGAAACGGTGCCGGAGGCCGCTCTGGGCTCCTGTGGGCACTTCCCCCGGGGCCCGTTTTGTGGGGATGTCTCAAGCGAGGGCGCCGGTTTGGGATTCGTCCGCGGATCCGCCGGATCTGTCCGGAAACGGTGCCAGAGGCCGCTCTGGGCTCGTGCTCTTCGCGCCGGGGGTGAGGATGACGTGAGTTCCACAGAAACTCCCTCAAATTAATATGTATGCGAATTATGTGTGCATGCATGCATGTTCACGTGCTTTCATTCATATGCATATGTAGGTGCATATGCACATGCACATGTTTATATTCGTACACGTACATACGCATTTACATACACTAGTATCATATTTTCCATGCTTATGCCCATACATGTGCATGTTTATGTACTAGGCTGTTACACATGTATATGCTTATACATATGACTGCATACGTGTACTCGTACTTGTAGATGCACATGTACACGTATATGGTTATGTGTATCCATATGTATGCGCAGACTTGTATGCGTATGTCTATGTACATGAAGGTATATACGTATTGCATATGTCCATGTATGTGTAAGATCATACGCTTATGTATTTATGCATTTGATTTGCGTAGGTGCACGGGCGTTATCTATCTCTCATCATTGAGCTATCCAATATCCTTCGCCTCTCGTCTCTGCCGCCGTTTCCTTTTCAGGCTGCTTTCGCTCTGAGTTAGCCTTTCGCAGGGGCGCCTCTGTCACTGTTCCGTCGCTAGGATGGCTGAGGCCGCGGGCTTCGAGGAAGTGCCTGAGCTGGACGCCGTCGAGGGCGTCCAGGGCGCTGAACTGCCAGGGGACGCGGGCGAGGAACACCGACTGGACGACCTCGACGGGGAGGGCCAGATGGTGTTCTTCGAAGTTCCTGGGGCTGGGGCCGTCGTGTTGTCGACGAAGCCCTCTGGCCTGGTGGCCTTGCCGTTGGCGTTCGGCGAGTACTGGGGGTTCGAGGGATTGGACGACGTGGGCGAGGCGCAGTGCGCTTACCTGGTGCAGGTGCGCGGCGTGTACAAGCCTACTGCGTTCGGGCAGTTCATTACGGCGCGCTTCGTCGTGGCCGATGATGCCTACTGGCAATGGTATGCCGGTGAGCTTGGCGAGAAAGGCGCTTTGGGCTCCGCGCCAGGTGTACCATATTTGCGCATGCTGCGAGCCAGTGGGGTGCATGGCCCTCTTTAGTGACTCCGAGTTGAGCGTCTGGCACGTCGGGGCCCGCCGATTCATTCCTGCAGAGTGCGTGAGTGATTTGCACGCGTTCTACAGCAAGTCGAACAGGGGCATCCCTCCGATTGAGTCGCTCCTTCCGAAAGCGGCTGTGCGCGGAGGCGGAGGTGGTGCGCGGGTTCCTCGGCAGGCCGTCGTCCCGCCTGCGGCCACCAAGGGCGCCAAGGCCGCTGGCGGGTTCGACGCGGAGATCGCCGCCCTGCGGGGCAGGAGCAGCCAGCCGCCGTGCAGCGGCGACAGCGTGGAAGAGCTGACGGAACTCCTGGACCGCCGCCCGCAAGCGTCTCGGATCGGAAGG